ACGGAGTACACCTGCATGAACACGACGGCTTATGTACTCCGTCCTCGAAAGCCTGCGCACCGTATGATGAATGCAGGGACACCCGGAGCGCAGATTATTTCCGTCCTCAATTGCCCCTCGCCCTTCGTCACAACGACGTCCGTTGCATTGATCTCCAGCGCGCTCCTCAGCCGCACTTGGGGCACGTCCAAGCGCAGCGTCTGACCATCCCGGAGGCCCGTCACCACATCTTCGAGCGACGCCTCGGTTGAGGCCCCGTAAACGACCTCCTCCACTTGCAGAACTCGACCCTTATCGGGTTGGGGCCCTAGAAGTAAGAACGCACACTGGGAGTTGATCACCAGCACAGGGCCCCAGCGCGTTGGCCACACTAGTGAGGTGGTAGTGCCTGGCGTCCAAGTCCAGGGCGTGAAGGTACCAAGGGATTGGGAGGGATTGCCAGTGCCGCGGCGCACATTTTTCCGACGCGCAGGTTGCCGCAGAGTCGAGGCCCAATAGGGACCATTGTCGCGAACGAGCATTCTGTGCGAGCCTCGCGCTTGCCTTTCAGGATCGGCGGCCGGCAGTGCCTGGTGTCCGAGTCAAGGGCATAAGGGCGGGATGCCCAATGCCGCGCCGACCATTTTTTCAACGCGATGATTGCCCCAGAGTCGAGGCCCGATAGAGACAGATGCCGTGAGCGAGCATCGCGTGCGTGCTCGCCCTTGGCGCTCATGATCTGCGCCCATCTTGTCGGGAAGCTGAGGGGCAGCTGCGGGAGTGGATCCCCAATGGGCATCCCGCGCCCCTGGGCACCGTCGCCAGCGGGTAGAGGTCAATGCGCATTGCCACCGTTGCGGCTGGCGAGTGCAGCGATGTGCGGATCCCACCTTGCGGCGGCGACGGGTTGCCATGCACTGCGGCCGGCAGGTTGAAGGCAGCCAGGACGATCCAGGTCGCCAGCCCGCCGGCGAGGCACGGAAACCGAGACGGCGCCATGCCCCGCGGAGCAATTCAGGCTCGGGTGGAAGCGCTCAATGGGAGGACCGGCCGGCGGCTGCGATATCCGTGGAGTTTGACGCCCAGCAAACCCCCAACGGGGGAAGGTGGGGTGGCTCGGGGAGTCGAGTAGCCTGTTGCGACGCCGCTGCCTCATTATTGGTGGGGGCGGGTGTTGCTGACGACGCACAATGACCCCCGTTTCCGATGGATGTGCTTATAATGCGATGCGGCTGACGCTTGCCCGAGGATGACGAAGGCAACGTGACGGAACTCAATGAGTAATATGGTGCGCTGGCCTTGACGCTTGGTTTGGTGGGAATCCCTTTTTGTGTGCTCGACTGGGAGACATAGATCTGGGGGGTGGCGTGAGAGTGACAAGATCTTTGCGCAAATGTGGCTGGTCCCGTGCTGGCTGCCGATTTCTTTTTCTCTGTGTGCGTGCGCTCTACGGTACCAAATTGTAGTAAAGCATCTCTCACGTCACCCCCGAGCAATGACGGCCATGAAACATCAAAGAGCGATTTTCTATCCCACGTCGGCTTCTCTTATCCGCCCCCCACCCATCTGCAACGCACACAGACGGCAGCAAGGAAAAGGTCGTAGGGCACAAACAACCGGAGATTATCACAGCACAATTACGGGGTGCCCCGGGGGTGGTTGGGTGCAGGGGCCCTGCATTCGGCCCTCTGGCCATGAAAGCCTCGTGCGGGAGGTCTTGCGCTCGGGACCAGGGCCGCCAGAGAGCGTGGTGTGTGGCAGCAGGGTGGTTTGGCGCAGCATGGGCCCCAGTGGGTTAACAGGAACCGACCAACACCCTCAGCAGCTGAGTGGAGAGAGATGGGGGCGCCGCACAGGAATGATGCTGCATACCCTTCCGCGGAACTGCGTCCAGGCTTGCTTGCTCATCCTGGTTTCTGCAGTGTCCTTCGATGCTGTCCTTCGACCGTCCCCAAACGTGCCCTTCGATGTCACCAGTAGAAAACAGTCTGTTTGCGATGCCAACTGCGATGCCATTTTGACGCAAATTGATGCCATCACAGCCCCTTTTGTGCCATCGCACTCACTGTGTTTGCAGCGTTCTCCGGCGTCGACCCCGTCACACTGCCCCCTGCGCCCGCCCTGGGCGGGGTGGACCTGGAACTGCCGGGCGGGGAGGGGGGGAGCGATGCACTGCGCAGAAGTTTGGCGCTCGCTCGCCGAATGTGAGCCCCCCCGTGACGCCTGCGCGATCCCACGTAGTGGGGTCGTGGGTAGGAAAGATTCCCGGTCCATGGCCACGTATCCTGCCTGTTGGATGGACGGGTACTCATGGGGTCGGGCCACCATCTTCCTGCCCCTGGTCCAGGTGGTTTGGAAGAGGAGTGGGACATCCACCTATCCAATCTCCATCCAATTGGGATCCACCTATCCACTTTACCATTCTCAATAAAGCGCTGCCCCATACACGTCAAATATTCGTCATCACATCACATTTCCAGGGCGTATTTTTCTGGTCCCCCAGAGCATTTTGTTCTGGGCGCCGACCCAGCATCGGAGCAAGGTGCGCCACATGTCCAACAAACGCGACAGCGACGATGGCAGCGACCGGACTACTCTGGACGGTGACGACGCCTGTTTGGACATTAGCCCCCCACGCATTCGATGTTAACTTTCTCCCCGCAATTCCGCTGAGGTTCTCGTGCCCGCTACGGATCCTTGTTCCATGACTTTGGTCTCCATCGCCGTTGGGCTGCACAGCAACCTGTGCGTTGAACAAATGGACGCCAAAGCACATTTCCTCCTCTCCTCCGCCCCCCCACCCCCCACCCCCACCCCACCCCACTTTCTGAAACGTTTGCGGTTGCCTTCAATTCCACGAGGCGCCACGATGTGACCCCGGCCTGGTGAACAACTGCCTGTGTGCGCCCCTCCTTCCACTAGGAAAAAAAGTGCCAATTAACACTTTTGCGAACACACATAAAACACATTTCATCATAGTTTTACACGCTAATAACACAAAAATAACACAAACCCGTAAACTTTGTACACATTTGAGCACGTGTTATTTGGCCCCTTTTTTCCTAGTGTTCCAGGCTTCCACCCGGCCAAGGGGCGCGCTCTGCAGAGAGGGAAAGTAGTATACGACGCCTCCTCCGTGCCGCCGCTCGGGGATGTGGTTGTGGGCGTGCATGACGGCCAGGCGCTGCGCCTGGAGTCGCCGCAGGTGCAGCTGAGGAGTCCGTGGAAGATTGAATCGTCAGGCGCGATTGTGGCGAAGGCCGCGAACCAATCTAGGATGGACATTATCTGTGCTCCAGGCAGCCCGGCATTCATCATAAGGTGCGCAAGCTAATGGGCGATGTTCTGTGCTCGGTATTCTGTGGGTGTGTGGATTGACTCACAGGGAATGTTCCGTTGTGTACTTTTGTCAAGCGCAGATGACAAGCAAGGCCGTTGCGCCTGGTGAAGCGATGACTGGCACAGCAGCAGCTCATCTATGTTTGCTCGGGTACCATCTAATCACGTATCCCAAACCCCATTATTCTGCGAGTGCTTTCAAAGCTCTCACACGTTCTTGCGATGTTCTGGTGCATTCACCAAGCCTATCCAGGTGTCCAAGGGGCGTGGTGCGGACGTCTTTGATCGTCAATGGCGTACCCGGACGGCTCATATCCACAAATTTGAAATGTGTCCGGGATCCGACTGGGTTCTCCTTTGCATTATCGCACCATTGCTGCTCGATTCATGCGAATTTGAAACGCCCCCAGCGTCCCCATCCGAAAGCAGAAGCCGGCAAGCTAGCGGTATCCCTGAGGAACTCAATACTTGCATTTCAGTTTTTTCGAAGGTGCTGAGATCCACAAGAAAGCAATGCAATATCTGAAGTCATTGACGTTCTTGTAAACACTGTCCAAAGCACGATTATTGGGACGACTCCACATAGAATGCTATGAGGCTATTAGGCCACTGCCGTCTCAAGAGTGAAACATATGAGCATATCAAGATCGATGCTATTGACCGAATTTGCTACGTTGGACCTCTGCACTGTATATGTGCCAGTCATGAAACCAAGTGCCCAATGTGAGTCTATTATGTCTTATATTTAAAGATTAATGCTATTGTTAATTTGGTTATGTTTTCCTCCTTTTTGTTTGAATTTGAGTGTGCACATTTTATTGTTTCGACTCTCGATTTCATCGTGTTGATTGCATCCTGCCATCGATGTAAGAACTGACGCTAAGAAGGGAAGTTGGAAGGTAAGGAGGGAGAGGGGGGGGGGGCGGGAGGCTAAGATTGTTACGAATCAAAGAAAACGCGTCACACAATAGGCAGCCTCTTCCAAAGCAAACGAGTGCGAGACTCTTTTCATGCTCTGAAAGATGACGGAGAGCCTCCCTAGTAGGAAGAATCACATAGCAAATGCACCACCGAAGCAAGAAAAACATGCAATAGGGAGTAGTATGACCAGGTGCGACTGCTTGCAGCAACAAATCTAATGCTCAGACTTTGGCCAAGATCCGTCAGGGTTCAAGCATCTTCACCACAGCTGACGTTGCCAAGGCGTTGAGGACGGCACCTTGGCCATTGGGATATGCATAAATCCCTGTTTGGGAATACAAGGTATTTCAACGCCACTGACTCAAATGTTGACGACGACGCTTTGGCCATTGGGGTACGCACAAATCCCTGTTTGAGATATGCAAGGCATTTCAGTGCTACTGACTCAAAATGTAGCATAGACACAAACAAAGATGCCTGAAGGCCAGATATGGCTTCCAAGTTAAGGGTAGGGAACTCGCCGATATCATCCAGAAAATGCAATAGAGATGCATCATCCTACAGAGGGCCAGCCCAACATTCCTGATTTTACAAAATGGGCTTGCGACATTGCCCTGCACGCTTGGCGACTAGTCCCCAAAAATTTCAGCGGTGAACACAGTGCGACGCGAATCCAAGCGTGGACACAAACTCAAACATCAAAATCCATCAACACGCTCAAAATTTCAACTGCATGATGGCGCATGGCAATTGTGCACGCCTCACGAAGGAGGGATGGACACCCTGTCAAGTTCCAAGTCAACAACAAGGGTTGCATTGGGCGGAACAATCCCTTTCTTCTGCGGATCTGTCTCGTCGGGGAACAGCACGGCGCCTTCACCAAATCCCAGCTCGGGTGGTATGGTTACGCGGCGCTTGCCGCCAGCCTTCATGCTGCGAAGCGCTTCTTCCACCCCCAAGGTGAGGCCTCCGGTGAAGGGGCGCTTCCCAAAGATGAAAACGATCGCTTTTCCCCGAGCTTTTGTGTCGATAAAAACCTCACCATTCGCTGTGCCCCTGACGAATACACGACAGCAATACAACCGTCAGGTTGCTCACGAATACCTTCAAGTGCTGCTTGTCAATATGCACAGCAACTCGAAGATCTTGTGCAATGCAGCCCCTTTTCAAGCCCAGATGTGCATTGGTCGCATAACAAGGATGTCATACAGATCTGCAAGTGCCAACTTGCCACAAAAAAGACCTAAGAAATTCTGTTGCAGCACTGCAGGTGAGACAACGAAGACAGTACAGTATCATGATTGTGAGGCCGAAAGAACAATTAACAATTAACAAGCTGTGCTGTCTTGCAAATCTGCAAATCGACATATCGTCAGCATTCTGTTAAGGCTGGAATTTTCTTTGGTGAAACTGCAGGCTTCTGCTTACTTTGGTCTTGGGTTCAGGCCCTAAGCCATTCTAAGTACTTCAGAGGCTGCCATTTCAGCAATCAGAATGCTGCAGAGTTGGGGGCTCATGTGTGTGCCAGCTTCAACTGCCACTGCCAGCAGCCTGTCAGGCAGGACTTTGTTAGCGTAGGCTGTGTCAGCAGCCAACAGAAGAAACCCGTTTCCCTGCTTGTTCTTTGACCTAGGTTTGTGCAGTGCTGAACAGCCCTGGGCCCCGATACAAGGCATGGGGGCCTCCCAGTTTGCAGGGTTCCTTGCAGCAGTATCAGCACAGAACAGAGACCCTGCATTCCTTACTTCTGGCACTCCTTTTGACTGACAGCAGGGGTGGGTGCGGGTGGGCGGGGGTACGCAAGCCACTCACCTCATCTGGATAACAACAAGGAAATCGTTTTGTGGGTAAGCCCCACCACCAATCTTCGTGTCAACATATCTCAGCCCAGATGCAGTCACGACCTCCTTCGAACCCTTCACATCTTTTGCACCTTCTCTTTCACTCCGCACCTCCAGCCGTGTCTTGATCTGCTCCCCAATTGCACCGACCGCCAGAATTCCAAGCCAAATCAGGCCACCAGTCAGTCTACAGCAACACACGATTGTGTTTTGACTGCATTGAAAGAGATAACCAGTTTCTATGCTATCTTGGGGGACAACAATCTGCATAATAACTGCTACTACATGGAATCTCTCTCACTACAAGAGGCACAGTGATGCATAAAATTTTGGACAACAGTGGCCTCATAGAACGATGGAATTCTGCTCTGTGAACCTATTTGGCGAATTCCTGGCATAACCCCAAAACAAAGCAATCCTTCTGCTGAAACTCTGGGAAGGCCGACAAACAAGAATACCCGAAGCGCCTTGTGAGAAAAGTTGACACAGCATCCGTGGAGCCCGCGGTTCGCTTCGCCTCCCCGCCCGTGGCTCTGGGCAGTGGGTAGTCCAGCTCAGTTTCGCTTGAAATTTCATCCTTTGTGGAAGCCTCCAGTGTTTCGGCGCCTTCAGCCTCTTCTGCACTAACATCGGATGGGGCCGCTGACACCTTATCTACATCGCCTTCAGCGCGCACAACAACACTTTGGCCTTGAAGCCACAGCAAAAGAATACCTTTCAGTTGATGCTCAGGACAAACTATTACATTATCCTTGTTTGTAGGATGAACAAGGCAGTTGTCGTTTCTGTTTGGGATGGGGTGGCACTTTGACTCAGAAAGCAGAAGATGGTACAAGGCCCACTTCTTTGTCGCCTTTAGGTTATTGCTGCTGGACACAATGATGAATTGTGGAATGTTAAATTGTTGATCGGACAAACACTGGTTGGATGCAGCTCCGTCCCTCACTGCCTGCTGAGGTGCAAGGCTTATTCGTCCGGTGCTCTTGACAAATGCAACCAACAAACCTGTGGTATGGAAAGAAGGCGAAAAGCAGATTTGCCCTTGAATTGTGCTAACAGAAGTTTGCCTGACAGACAAAGGGCGCGTTTGCCACCTCCACAACAAAATGCGATGGGAACAGCGACAAACTGACTTTCAGACAAAGGTTGCAAAAGTATTGGGCACAGAGCCAGCTGTACTTTGGGTCAATACGCGACCAGAACTCTGGCAGGCACACATTGAGAACGCTCAGATCCCATCCAAGCTGGAACCTACAAATCGTCTGAAAAAGTGCGGCCACTATACTCGGCCACCAGAACGACGAGCTGCCAGGCGACCAAACGGCGGATTCTGTGCGTTAGCTGGATTGCTGGAACTGTCCTTTCTGTCCGTCGATACACTGCCCTTTCTGATCCACTCCTGACCGTGAGGGTCTCGTGCCAGCAATGGCTCACTGATAGCATTGGAATGTACTCGTGGTATTGGCTTGTGAAAACCGATTGCCGGGCAACGGTGAGGACGGACACGATGTCCTGCACCAAATGATAGACCCCGACCCAGCACATACGCCCTGTGTTGTCAAAACAAGTCGCAACTTGTTGTAATTCGTCTAGAGAACAAGTTGAAGCACTGCATTGTCGCCGATCAGGCGATAATGGGTGCTGCTTAAATTGCAGTTGGCGTTGCCCGATTGGCAATTCCCACGTTCCCCACCAGGGTCTTGTTTTGCATGGATGTTCTGACAGTCGCGGTCGACGGAAAATTGGGGTCCCCTCCAAAACGCACCTTTCCGGCGCTCGGGGGCTTGATTTTTGGGTGCAGGGAGGCCAGGTACCCGAGCCTGGGCTTGGACGCGCTGCGCCACCCGAGGCAGCTGGCACGCGCCCACCAGGGCCATGGCTCCTAACTGATGCGGGAAATGTCGGTGCACGGAGACCTGTCCTGGAACCTGGATTCGCCCACCCAGCTAACGAAATCTCTATTGGCGTGGGGAGCTTCTGTAGTGTTGCACAATTGAACGATGTTGCACTCAAAACAAGCGGTTTAATGTTAAGTATTGAATGGATACTGTCGAACAAACAAGCTGGCTCGGAGGCAACATGTGCTCATGCCTTTTTGGCGTCGCTCGTCTTGCCGCATTCCACCCACTGGGACAGCGCTGCCAACATTAGGCAGGCAATTCATTTCAATTTCGGAGCTATTCGGAGCTAAATTTAGCTGGTTGGAACAATACAGTTTATGTACAGCAAAAAGCGAATCTAAGTGAGCAGCTGCCCGGCTACTCCAATCAGTATCGCTATCACAGCTAAAATCCTTGTTTAGGAACTTTCCCTTGTATAGCTGAAGGCGAGCGTGCATACATCCAGGAGCATTTTTCTGCTCCCCATCCGTTCATTGTACCCATTCGCCACATGGCGAGCGAGCACCCATCTGAAACGCATACAGACGATGGTCGAAAACAAGAGACAATGCTGAAATCCAAGATGCTTGTGTCCATGACTAAGAAACGTCCTTCCATCCAGCGCACAATATGGTCCCAATCCGTAATACGATCCAGACAGTGCCTGCATCTTGGCGATGGCTGTATTTGAAGCGACGACTACTTCGAGACTCGTGCTCTGCGGCAGCGCAGCGCTGATGCAGGACACTGGACAGGACAAGCCTACAGTCACATGTGCACGGGCATGGGAACCCATGCAACATTGCGCAGGCACGCCAACTCCGCCCCTGGGGCAAAAGCGGTGTATGGATTGATACATTATAGTACATTTATGTGCCACATTTTCCCTAAAAGCTGTTCCCCATCTCTTCCCCCCCCTTTCCCCCCCCCCCCCCTCCCATCTTTCCCCTTGTTGCTTTGCTAGCTAATCCTCAGCGCAGGGGGAGTACTATCCTCTGTGACCCAGAAACCATCGTCTAAGCTGGTTTCCTTTTGAGGCGGGGGCGCAACTTATTCCCTCATCGATTTGCTCCTTCAGAAGCGTGTCAGATTCTGGTGGAGGGCATGGAAGCGCCGCTTTGTTTTTACTGTCGTCGTTGTGCTAAAAGAACTGGGGGGGCATGGGCAATAAAGGGTGTAGGGGGTAAGGACATGATAGAGAGACTACGGCGATGGCATGGAGCAAGAGGTGCGCATTCGGCGATCACCGCAGATGTGCATCAAGCAGCTCAATCCGGGGAATTGCAACGGTGGTGCACCAGCAAGGGGGCAGTTCTGTAATATTCTCCCCGTTGGCACCACTCCTTGTTGGAATTTGCAGAACGACTCAGCCCTATGCTTTTCAATCGTCTGAGCAGGATGGAGGGCTTGCATTGTAGGCAGAACGCCCAAGAGTTCTTGCATCAGTCGTTTGAAAGGACATGCGCATCGCTACAATAGGATATGGAATTAACAATCTTGTTAATATGTTTCCACCAAGGACGACGTTGGGTGGGCTGTGCCGATAATTCAAATCGGCAGCAGTTGAATTCAAACGGGTTTCTGGCCCCTCTAGTACCTTGAATCAGTCAAAGTACGTAGTTTCCAAGGTGCTGTCAGTTTGGCGCCCTTGGACTTTGGCGGGCTTTGGCGGGGCTGAGCAGGGGCGGCTATTTAGGCTTCCCCCTCGGTCCCCTTATTATCTTGTTTCGTACCCAGCCCTCCTACCCTAGAAAGTGGAGTTCGGTCGAATTGTGGGAGATAGAGGGAAGGTGTGGAAGGAAGTACTGGATTGGGGGCTGACTCAGGGCTGAGTCACGGGGGAAAAGCGGCGTGAAGTGTGTGCGAAGTGGAAAGGCAAACTGTTAAGTACGGGGACCTCGGGCATTTGGAGTTCATGGTGACGGATACCATTTTTTGTAAATGTCTTGTCGTGTGGGGAACATGACCGGGTGGGTGCAGGAGACCGGTCAGGTGGAAACCCTTTCCTACGAAGAAGAGATTCAAGGGAACAATCCAATCCTTGCTTTTTGTCCCAATTAGTTGTCGATGAGGTCTCGGGCCCTCTGGGCCACACACGTCAATATGAGAGCTCAACGAAGCGAGGGTAGTTATGCGCACCAAGCGTCGACGAATTCAAAGCACATTTCAGGTGGAGGCCAGTCTGACTGTGAAACACCAAATCAATGAGTGACAAGCTGGAGCCGTCTTAGAGCGGGCCAGGGCAGTGTGGGGAGTGTGGGGCGGAGAGGGAAGAGTGGGGTTTCGAAACCCTGTCACGCAACGACTGTACGAGGAGATGGGTGTTTTCAAGCCCTTCAACACATGCCTGCACGTATTATTGAATGGAAGCGGGTTGGCAGTGGCGCAGGGAAGCATGTCGGCACGCTGTATATGTGCAAAGAGTTATGACTTACATGGCATAGATGGGCTTGAGACGGAGATGAGCACAGTGAATGAGAGAGCAGGACCTGGCGTCTGATGCAGTATTGCGTATTTGACCTAAGGGCATCGTGTAAGCCATGCTTTGTGGTTCTCTCCCTTGCCTCAGTGCAGCCATGGGTGAGAGTATATCCGGCACCGTTCGTGATAGGTTGCACATTTCGTCGGCAAGAACAACTACAACTGTCAGGCACTCGTTATCACTGTCGTGGGACATGAGATGTCAAATGCAGGTTCCGCAGTCATAGCCCCGACCTGCCACCTCTCGCAATGGGTGGCCTCTATGCGAAACACATCTGCGCATGGCCTTGTCCGCAAGCCGTTGTGTGGACGCAGCTCTAAGTACCAGAATGTGCAGGTACAGCTACGAGAATTGCTGGCAATGTAGCGCAGCATGGACGCTCAAGGGTGCGCAACTACAGCGGTTTATATTCAATTGAAATTCAATCAATTTGGAAGGTCTCAATGCCCACAGGCATCGAACGCCAAAGCTTTTGTCAATCCAAGCGACGCCACGCAATTTCGTGATTTCCGTGACCCGCTGCGAACCCAATACTATCTGGCATCGTGCCGCACGACTGATTCCCAGAATGATTTCCTATATTCTGTCCCGTCAAGCAACACTTTCCTTGCTGTCTGAACTTTGAACCTGGATCTATTGTGGTTTGTGGGGCGAATGAGCATTCAAGAGGTATGCGTCGAAAAGGCCTTGCACATCGCGGATATGCATATTCAAAATACAACCGTGCCCATGATACAATATACGGGTGTCCATAGCCTGGGTATCAGCATTTCCTGCCATATCCAGGATGTGCCACAAACCATAGATTGTAATCAACTGCACCATTCGTTTTCCAAATCCCCCATCCCTGGGCTGAAAGCAATCAGAAGTCAGCCTGGCTTCCAGGTTTCTGCCTCAAACTTAGTATCAGGGCTACCAGGCTTGGGTCTGACAGGCTGCTCCCCTGCCCACAGTGCAAAGAAAGCAACAGTCAGGGAAGCTGATGCAAAAAACAAATGAAGCAACCGTCCATGCCCAAAACAGCATATCCATTCCTGATGCACACTGCCTGAGCGTGCGGGCATCAATGATTCTTGTGACCCCTGCTAGCCCTCGCACCCAAGGCAGCTGTGTCGTACTGCAGGCAGTACAACTATTTGCTGGTTATTTCGCACACTTGCGAGTTCGTGCAATGTAACCGAGACGTTTTTTTGGTCCCTCCATTCTCTGCTTCACCGTGGGACACCTTTTGTGCCAAGCTCAAACGTTGACACAGCGTTTCGGCCTTGCATAGAGCTGCATCTGATTACTTGTCAACATCACTTTCGGACACGGATCACTAGAGGATGCCTAACCCAACAACATCTACATGCAAAGGAGCCAATTCATGATTTGCCCCGATTGTGATGGCATCTGGGATGCTCAAGCAAGCAGCAAGAAGAAGTCCAGAATTGTCGACGCCAGGCACAGGTTGCAGCGATATGCAAAAATGGAGGATCTTTTATCTATATAAACAAGAGGACATGTGTCAGACAGCATTTGTCAGGATTTGTGTTGGAGTTCAAAGCACATTACCTGATGCATCAGGAAAGGCCCCACTACTGTTGCCTGATCCGCCATATCCCTACACCAATTGGGGTTATTGGGTCAAGTCGAAGCAACCACAAGCATGGCAACTAATGAGAAAAACTCATGACATCCCTGTCATTTGAAAATGCTGGACACAGGCACCTTAGCTGGATCTCTAAACATGGCATCATACTCCAATTCATGAACTGCATAAGGCCATCAAGTTAGTGCTGCAGAACACTCCACAAACCTTCTGGGTTTCTGAACTGCATTCAGCCAATTGCTTGACATCCAGCACCCTATTGGGCACAACAGCCGCAAGACTTTGCATGTCATGGTAGGTTGGGCAGGCACCCTCTTGACATGAAAGGTTGCCATGGACTGCAAATTGCGAGGGCACTATTTGCCTTTGTAAGCCATGGATATCAACCCACCTTGGTTGCGAGCTGTTCAACGAATCTTGTCATGCTCGGCTCACTGTCTGCCTGCTGGCCCTGTAGCCGCAGGCTCTCCATCTGTGTCAAAAGACAAAAGAGAATGTTGTAACAGGTAAGTATCACAGGAGAGTGCATTCGTCTAGCTGTGTATGCAGAATCACAAGGGTACCGTCTTCAAACAGTGAGGAAGATGGTCAACACCAGGTGGCAAGGATGCCAGCGCATAGGGTGCACTGCACTCTTGAACGAACCAGCAGTCAGCCGCAACCAGCAGCTGCAAATTCTGTCAAACAGGTAAAACATTCAAGTTCTGCTCACCTTTGGCTTGTCTGCATTGATCTATCGTACATCTACAGATCTCACCTATGTACAACTCTTACTTCAACTTGTGCTTGATAATGCATTGAATCAGGACAGTCAGAGACGACTCAATACAGCTGATGATGCTTTGTGTGTGCCATATTTGCATTCTATCAACGTCTCCTTTAAAATATTTCTCTGCATCTCAGCATCCCAACACGGCCAATTTAAATGGCATCAGCGGGTCCTTTAAGGGCAGCATTGTGAACAACACATTTTGATGTTTATCGAACCCTTGATCATGTCCCCAAAATGTGAAGCTGCCCTGGTGTACAGCATTGCATCAAAGTTGGGCCAAAAATGAAGCCAAAAAGGATAACATTCCCAGTAAAGGATCCTGACCCGAAACTTCCTCTTTCTCTCTTCCTCCTCCAGAGCTTCCACTTTCTTCTGCATTGCCAGACGGCTAGCCTCAAGCCTGGCAAAACCAACTTGGTTGAGTCGATCCAATGGGACACTGTAAATTATCGCCACCACACAGGCAACTGAAATTCAGCTGTTTCCTAGCTGCCTTCAGCTTATTCTCACGTTTATTTGCTTGTTTATGGTGATGAGGCGCCAGCAAAGTGTAGCTCACCATGCCTTCCAAATGCAAAGCTCATAACAGGAAATGAGCCAAACGGCACAGCATCACCCATGCTGTCATCCATGGCATGATGGACTCGATCGGCAGAACCACCGTTGCAGAGCAGCACAGGCTGGAGTACATTCCGTTTGTTGAAATTGTCAAAACGCAAACAAAGATCCAACAAGAACAAGGTTCTTGCACCTGGAAAGCACAAACTGGTGCCAGAAGGCAGTTGATGTGGGCTGACACCAACCATGGCTAGATCTAGATTAAGCCATTGAATGTGTCATTCAGAGCTTCAGTGGCTCAATTTAGGCTCACCTGTGGCCACCATGGCCCCCTCAAGCTCTCCTCAGTGAGGGAAGACATGCACTGCATCATGCCCATGATCTCTATGCTATGAATCTGTCCTTGATCTGCAATGTCCTTTGTTCCAACGCCATGGCATAGACGACGATTCCAGCAACAATATTGAACAAGATGGTGGCCCATTTTCACACAGTCGAAGAAAAATTCCCACCTCATGCTCTCCTCCTCTTGTGGGGGGTCGGCCCTGCCCTTGTGCAGCCAGGACGTCCATTCTGGAGGGATCGACCCGGGATCGTACTCGCCTCTGACCGGCGAAACCCATCGCCGCTCAAAAGGCCGCCCATTCAGTACCTCAGCCTTCCTGCAGGACGCAAAGGACCTCAATGGGTGCGGAAGGAGGGAATCAAGCTTACCCAATCCGAACTCCGCAAAAAAGCGGGCAAAAGCATTCAGCGGGAGAGACTCCCCTTTCAGAAGCAGATTGGCAGGCAGCAAGAGAAGCAAGCAATGGCGGCCTTGATCAGAATTGCGAATTGCCGACTGCGCCTGTGATTAGAGCATTTGTGGGCCACACCCAAACCGGCAATCAATGGATGGCAGAGCGCAGTCTATTTGACCAATGTCTGTCAGGCGTGCTGGAGCGCAATTTGAGCATTGGAGGCCGAGCGTTGGCACTGTGCAGGTGTCGCTTTCCGGGGATGCTGGTGGGTGGGGTCGGGGCGTTGGGGCGTTGACCGTGGCACCTGAAGTACTTGTTTCCCAGCGAGTCCACCCCCACGAGCTCCCTCCTGAGGACGAGCCTCTTGACACCCTCAACAATGCGCGACAGCCCCGACAACCCACTTGGCATGGCTGACCCTTCTTTCAAGCCTTGCCAGCGCGCTTTGTGCCATGTCGCTCGTATGCGCCCGTTCCCAAGGTCATTTGGGGTCATTTGAGGTTTGTACAATTGTGATGATATGCTAGGTTCGGTGTGGGACTATGTCGGAGGCAGGCACCGCCACGGGCGTGGAGCCACCGCTGAGGGAACAGGTTACACAGGTACGTCGCGGACAGGCATGTCCTCTTATAATCATAATCCATTTTTCAATGGTGGACGGTCACTGCCATATGAGTAATTAGAAGTGACTGGGTATTATTAACAACTGAATGCATAAAGAATTGATGAGGCTCTGTAAATTGCATTGGGGACGTTGATGAACGGACTGAATATGAAGGACAGAAGTTCTGTTGTCCCTTTGCCTTGGCTGTAAACCGTTGTTGTGGACTCGTGCATACGATCCCTATTCAGGGATCGCCACCCTGCAATCTTGTTTACCTTTATCAATTGGCACCCGAGCCAGGGGGTGAGCGAGTCGAGACATAAAGAAGGCGTGCACGATGCAACCTGGAGTGGATTGAGCGCCGAGAGCACTAGAGCTCTACGTTGCCCGGACAACCTATCTTAGGATATTTTCTGGATTGAAGATTCAAGACAATCATCGAACGATTGGTTGCGATGGGACTCCAACGGCCTGGAGTCCACTTCGTGTGGTTTTTCTAGAGTGTTTCGGCAAGAGTGCCACGGGCAATCGGCCATCGCCAGGGGTGTGGATTAGTTCTGCTTTTAGGTTTTCATTGTTGACCTGATTATAGTGCAAATCATATGTTGCAAGCGAGTCCAATGGGCAGCGCGACAACTTGTCGCTGGGCGCCTTGGCAGAGTGACTAAGTTGCCGCCAAAGGGATCAGTTCGTTCATTGATTGCATCTCCTACGAGGTTTGATAGGCAGTGCGGCACAGGTCTTGTGCGCCATGCAACATTTCAGAGCAGTAGGATATGCCCTTGTTGCGGCCCTGAAGGGCGCCGCTGGTTTCCAAAGCTTACGGGGTCACCACGCCCTGCAGCTCGGCTGGTGACGGTGCAACCGGCCCTCTCCACCACACTTGGTGGGCGGTAACGGGGCGCTCGTTCCCTCGGATGCGCGGTGATCCCAAACACGAACAGGGATCGTTCCCCGGGGCCTGCTGTATGCAGCGGGTGGAGGCGCAACCAGGCGATGGCTCGCTGGTCACGGACAGACCAGGCAGTGGGCCAAAGATCAATTATACGCGTGACCTGCATGCGCCTGTTTCAGAACCCGCATGCGCGCGAGGCCTAATCGCGGGTCCCTCGCGGTCACATGAAGACAGGACAATATACAACAACAAGTAATGTATTGTAAGGTATTAGGCGCGCGTGTCCCCGCTCACCATTCACCTAAACCAGCTCTGTATAATCCCCAATGCTTCGACCTGCCGGTCCGAATCCCTTGCTAAAGTACTACAACTTCAACTACCCATAACTTTGCCGTTGCTACACGGAATTGGACATTTCAAAAGACTATCAGCATTAGAAGCTCCTAAATAAGCCGATTTCAGCGTATTTGCACTTTTTTGACTAACTCTCGCTTTAGAAATGTCATTTTTAGCCTACCACCAAGCAGAGTCACCACAACCCTGTTGTGATGGTACCAGTGATTCGTTGTGGTTACTAAGTTGCAAGAAGGATCGCATACTTGCCACACAACATGCACGTCTCTGTAGCGGTGATTGTATAAAAAGGAATCAATAGGATGGCAGCTCGTGTCAGTTGATAATGTGGTCTAATACAGTAGAGCATCACTACCAGTGTTGAGCAAGCAACATGGTATAGTGCAAGCAAACCCACATGGCAATGCTAGTGCATTGAAGGCAATATGATGCATAGTGTCAAAACCAAGGCATGCCCTTTCACAAGAAGAGGAGAGTACCTGGGGTCTAGGTGAAGCATTTTCTGCAAGTGGCAAGAAGTAACGGTTGGGACACATTAGTAGCAGGATTGCAGTCCTATTGTAGTCTTCGAATAGGAGGAAGAGACGTGGTGCAATAGTAGAGCAGCACATTGGGAAGGTGATGACCATACATGAGATGAGATTGAGACAGCGTTTATTATAAGTTTCAGAGCTTATGGGCATTTGGAATAGATTGAGTGTGTTTTGTATGACTTAAAATAGGTCACTATTTTCATCTTCTACCATGGAGGATGAGTTAGTGGCATCACATGCAGAGCGGTCCAGATGCTTGCATGCTGAACGGCAAGCACTTGATCGGGATGTAGTTCCCATCAATGTACTTTATCATTCTTGGGTCATGGGCCTAAGGAGGCAATTCTGCTTGGATATTCTGGATGTGAATATCCCTAATTTTGACCATGCAATAGTAGCAGTCAAGCGAGTAGAGAAAGCAACACTTCTTATGGAAGGAAAACTTTTGGCAGCTAGCAAGCTCATGAGAAGCCAAACCATGATATCAGATTAGACAGACATCAATGGGCTATAGCAAAACGTGAAACAACTTGCACAATCCATGAGGGAGCTCAACGCCATGATGGACACATCGATGAGCTCGAAAGAGCAAGCAGAATCAAATTGTTTTTTAGGACTTGAAATGGAGCGAACCATGGCAGGCGCATGTCTTGGCGAGAAAATTCAGCCACCGGTGGCAGAGCTTAGTACAACAACAATTGGCATCAAGAAAATATGCCAAACAACGATGGTGGGAATCGGCAATCATCAAGTCATCGTGTGAATGATGAGGTAAACCATGATGCTATGACAATGGAGCTGGAAGTATTTGCTGGTGAAGAAGCAATTGGAAAAGACAAAATAGAACCAAGCAAAAGAATAGTTAGTGTCAAGCATGTGAGTGAATGGAAGAAGCATGGCCCATTGATAGAAATCGTGTGTGGCCAAAGGAAACCCAAGTTCTAAATGTCTAAAAATTTGTTCAATCTACCGCCTTCAATTTCATTGGGGCAGTTGCTTCAAATATCCCCAACAGTGCGACATGATTTGCGCACTGGGATTGCTCTGGATAGGCCGAAGAACGAAAACCCAAAGGACAAGCTATTGATGTGAAAGGCATATCACAGCTGCGATTTCTGAGCGGTGCACAAGCAGCTGCCAGAGCACCAGCAGTGATGGCAACTGAATTCAACAAATTGACAACAGCAATCAGAATTGATTGCCATATTGCTAATCAAGCCTGACAAGGGTTTGCCATTGACCCTAGAACAATGTTAAAATTGATGGAACCAGAAGCGACCAAAACATGTGACTACGTGTTTTGGGTTCCTGAGGTGCTGCGGTGCATATTGCTGATTGTGAATGGCGACCTCTGCTCGGATACGTCAAAACTCACGCTGATGTGGCTGGTGTCACAGCAAATGCTTTGTTCCATCTGATGCACACCAATGCAGGATACCCAACGCTCCTTGGTGAGCCAATGTTGACGCTTAACCAGGCAGTTTCATTCCGGGGTACAGATTCGTATTTTGTTGAAAGCGCCGAGGGCAGTTCCTTGCCGTTGGTGGGGATGCATGCACAGCTCACTATTCTGAGCGTGCTCGCAAGCTGCTCGATTGCATTTCACCAGAGACATGAGCAATTCCTGGTGACACTTCAATGACGACCAGTGTGTCTGGCGACTCTAATGACTGCGAATCAGATAGCGAAGCGACCAGTGAAGAGAGAGAAGTAGAAGAGATGAAGGAAGAAGCAACGGAAGGATATCTGATGCTGGCGACCCGTGAAGGTGATTCTGATCAACAACATGTGTCGATTGACGCGCTGCCAGTGCACGATGAACCAAAAGAGGAAAACGCTCCTTGGCAACTAAATGATGACTGTGGATCGGTTCTAGGAAATTTGATACCAGAAGTGCAAGCAGATGCAAAATATATCAGCAGGGGCGTCAAGTTGTTGGACAATCAAGATGTCCACAAAGCTGCGCTGGCTGCTGAGCTCAAAGAGACTGCTTTGAGCATCGCCTTGGATGATATTTGTGGAAGAGAACTTGAGAGCAATGCAGCAGCTGGTGACTCTAAAACAACTGGTGTGATGGGTTCTGAGGGTATGGGGATTCCGTGGGACGTTCGCAAATCAGGCCGTGGTGAACAATTAGTGACAGTTGATGCTATTGATTGAATGTCAACGGTTACTGATTAATTCTTCATCACAATGGACAATGTCAACGCCTTGGATGTTTGTGGCGCGGCGACATCTGAACAGCGACCCGTATTGGGCGCCTTTGTGCCTTTGAGTGTGTCTTTGTGGAGACCTGTTTGCTGATGAATTGAACAAATTATTCTCACGAGCTTGGTGCCATGTGGCATCGAATTGCAACTTAGGACACAGCCGATATGCCAAAGAAAGTTTCAATGCTGGCCGCCATAAATTTAGGCCTTTGCGAGAACTCGCTGCGCTGAGCTGTTAGCAGCAAACACGATCGAGAAGCATTACGGCCCTTGGGGTGCAGGGACAAATTTTCCCAAGAAGAAGTCTGGCACATATAGAATGTGCCACAGCTATTGACGTTAGAACATAGCATTTGTTCCAATTTAGTGGCCAATGCCTAATGCTGAAGTGTGTTTGGACAAGCTGGCTGGAAGAAAGTATTACTCAGTCCTTGACGGTTTTAGCGGCTACTCTGTGGTGGGATTTACACCAGGCGCTCGTGATTACATGGTGTTTGTTGCGTCGTTTTGGAAGGTTTCGATAAACAGCGATGCCGCTCGGTATATCCTCCCGGGGTTACGTGTTACTCAATCAGCGGAATTTTGGTATTTAAATTGGGACTGAAGTGGCAGTGTTCTTTGACGATTGCGGGTTTGGTTCAGATAGTTTTGAGGACAATATGGGCACTTTTGAGAAGTGTTTTCAATGCTGCAGAAAGGTAAGGATCAGTTTGAGTCCCAAAAAGTGCAGTTTCTGCAGAGTTCCATCGCTTTGCTTGGCTATTTGGTCAGTGCTAACTGTCTTGAACCTGATCCAGGAAACATAATAATGATCA